CATTGTCTGACGTTGGTTCGTAGAACTTTTACGATTACTCCATGTCGTCACAGGCTTTGTAATACGTGATAGGAACATAAAGTAACTATACGGATGACGTCATTGGAGAAACAATTTATCTTGCGGAAGAACGAGTAAAACTCTTCGTACGATCTTCAGCAGAAAGCAAAAACTCCAAAAAAACTAAAGAATATCTAATTGTCCGATAAATATTTTCGGAGCACATTTCTTCTGGACACCCGTTACATCGATTCGGTCTGCATACACGGAGCCACTGAGAATGAAATTTAATTGTGGAACATTGCAAACTAATCGTTAAGCCATTACTGTATATATGAGCGTACAGTACAGTAATACATATATTTTTATTTGTATTAATGCACATAGGCTGCACAAAGTCGCAAATCCGTTGCATTTGACTCGACGTGAGATTACTGCCAAGTGAACCGTTAATAAAGTTGTCTTACGTAATAAATTTCACGGTGATCAATTTGCAGAAACTTTTCGCAATTTCGTGCTCCAGGATACATATAGATATACCAACCTCCGTCAAGTGACGAATCGACGCGTCGTTGCCGGATGCTGTATACCCATTCCGCACCAAGCAGCCGAAGCCAATGAATTAGCACTTCCTCATCTCAAGATAAGGGAAATGCACCATTATCACGAGTAAATTAAACGAGACGAGTGTGTCTGGTCTGATACAAATTTTCCAATTTCCTGTGAACGGAGGAGTACGCGATCGAGTGTCAGCAGCCGGTTTCGTCCTTCCTTTTCAATAATTTTCTTACCGCGACTGAGCGACTAATGAGACAATTATACCGGTTCCCTATATACTTACACGTAAAAATTATAGAGAGCCGATGACGTCAGAGTATCACGAATCTGCAGTTAGACGTCATTTTTCATTCTTTTTCAATCTTTTCACGATGACGTAACGGCGCGTATGAGGAAAACTCGGAGTAAAGTAAAAGCAAAATTGTTGGTCTTTCTTCTGATCAAAAGACGCCGAGCGCCATCGTAGTAACTTCTGTGAGAGCGTAGGTCCCTTTATGCCAGCACCAAAGAGAACGGGAAGACATTTCTTATGCCGGTGCTCACCATTAAATTGGCTACGACAAGGCTTGGAAGCTTTACTCATTGCGCTGTTATTAATAGATAGGGCCCCTGTAGGCGTCCTTAGTAAAGGGACTGGATGTTTTTTGTTTTCCTTTTTAGAAAATCTTGCAGACTTTTTTTTTATGGCTATCACAGACGTCTGGTAAAGAAGTGGCTGCTAAAACGATCCTGCGGCCTCGTGAAAACTTCTCTCGAATTACGGTTGAGCTAGGTGAAAGCCAAAGGCCGCCTTTTTGTTCTTCCTTCTCGCGCACTCGTCTCAGCCTAGGTTGGGTGCCATACTGGTTGAGGTTAAGTAGGAGGCTATAGATTGCAGCTGGCTGGACGCCAGGTGCCAGGCCTGAATATTATCTATCTTCTCGCCTGAATACATTCAGGCCTGCTGTTACGGAGTTGCTTATTACAAAGGAGAAACGCGGCCAAACTGCTTCTACACTGTTATGATATTTGAATTTGAATTTTTTTTCTCGCCAATATCGCTACGATTTTCCATTACTCATTGTTTGCTTACGTTCTCTTGTATCTCATGCTAGACTGTGACTCATGCTATTCTCACAGACTATAACCGTGTTTAATTATTTCTAACGGTTTTCAGATTCGAATTCAGAGATCTGATTGGCTCAGCACGTATAGGCCTCCGATTGGCCCGTCTAGACCAATCAGATTAATCGATTTCACCTCGTTCTGATTTAAACGTTGCCAGAAATAATTTACCGCGAGAGCGAGCAATTTCAATCCCTATAAATTGTTCGAGACTCCCAACTGAGTGATTTTCCAATAATTTTTCATCGTACCGTTTCAAAACGATAAGGGCGTGTTCGTCATACTCCCGTGCGTGACTGATTGATGATTTTAATTCACTAAGGACTAACTCGCGTTTCTAGTGACATGCGGCATTCGACGACTCAGTCCAGTAGGGTTCTTTGATAAATGATTGAAGAGATTCTGGGTACGGTAGCAGCTCAAAATGGAGGACAAGGAATCGTGACGCTCAATTAATTCTCACTAGATTCTATTTAAAGGCGAATTTCTCGACTACCTGACCTAAGCTAACCTACAAAAATATATTTATCAAACAAGCAAACATATAACCTTCCCGACAAGCACGTACCTAAAATAACCTCAAAATTGCATACAAAAAAAAAGGTTCACCAATAGAGCCAAGAAGTGCTCGAGACTCTCGGCGAATACTTGATTATTTCTACCCAGGTCAAGGAAGTGTCCGAGGAGAAGACGGAAATGTTTTTTTTTCCGCCGAGTATCTAGGTCACCAGGACGTAACGTAATGGTCGTACTCGTGTCTTGGTTGATTTCTAACCAGGCAAGACTGAACAAACGGCTCAAGAAAAGTGGAAGTGAAGTAATGGATGGCGCGACTGAGAGTCAAGGGAAGACAAAAGATGGCAGAGGAGCATAGCTGTAATAAAGGGTGGTACGGTGGTAGGTAAATAAAAAGAAAATGAACTAGAAGAGGGTCTAACTGATTGTTCGCGTGCTCTTTACCTATCTGTCTGAAGCGTTACGGAACATCGAGATCAAATGCCAATGGCGTCGAGTAGGGTGAGTGAAGGTATTCCTTTGTCTTCACATGAAAAATCAGCGATTGTACGCTGCTTGTCAAAAGAGTCACTGATTGGCTGCTTTCGGCATTGGTGCGGATATATGTATATATTTTCTAGTTTGTATATATATATATATATACACCCAGGCACACACCAAGCGAAACATAAAACAGCCGTCGGTTGTTGTGAAGCCGAAAGCTTTTTTAATTAACATTCAATTTTATCCTATCATTCTTTTTGAGTCCGTCAACAGTTTCCATGTTACGCCTCTCCCTTAAAAGCTCCTTCTGACTTCAAATTCAAAATTTTCGCCCATCCTAAAGTTCTTTTGAATTTTGGGACGTATGTCTCGTTATGAACATTAAGTAAAGCTTCGGTTAAATGTACATGCACGGAATTAAGGCTTATGACAAGTAGTCTTGCTCAATGTCACTGCAGGTAGCGAGAGGAGACGTAATTCTTAGAAATAGTTACCCTACAGCCCCAACTGAGGGTTTATAACGGGGTTGGACTTATTCACCCTCAATACAGCCATTCCCCACATATCCTTTTGAAATTGGCTTTTTGACAGCCCTTTCAAATCCTCTCGCCTGTTATACCTACCATAATCATCCCTTAGTACTGGTATCCCTCGGGAATATGCGTAGGAGTTCGTTCGATATCCGCTAAACCACAAATGTGGCAGCACCGTCGTATCGTGAATATGAATTTCTACGTCTATGTAGAATAATTCCTCGTTCTCCCAGGAGGGCCAGGTGTACCACTCTTAAGATAGGTAACACTCTATAAGAGAATATTTGAGGTGAAATAGTTGTGGTTATCATTATTATTATTAAAGGTCACCATTAACGAGCTCTGAATATTTTTTCTTATTTTTTAAAAATTTCTCTCATAAAACTTTTACTACTACCTTCGCACTTCATGGTGTATATAGGTATATCTGTACGAATGACTTTCTATTGAGTATGTATATCTCTTCTCTGGATATGACAGGACCAGATCGAGAGCCATCTTTTCAAGTACTGAATGGCATTATTAGCCGCGGGTCGCTTCGCGGTTATCGATCCGTTTGCGAAAACGCTAATTCTGTTTTGGAATAATGTTACCAGAATGACTGCCACGAAAAAATGACACTGGAATTTCGTGGCTTTTGCTATAGGATCGTGATAAGCGAGTACGTCGGTACGAGGTCACGGAATCCTTTGACAGGTCATCCGAGTGTTGAATTCCTCTGTACTTGACGTACGTACCAGAAGATTCGGATAAAATGGGACAAAAGCGGTGTTAGTGATTTTTATATATTTTTTTTTTTGTAATTCCCCCAAAAAATGTGTCATTTGCCAGTGTTTTGGATTTAATGTAAAAATTCGAGAAAGACGAACTTTTGCCCGCGGAAGTACCGATACGAAGGATATTGTATGAGGACAAAGAAATGTGGCGACTATTTTTGTTAGATCAAAGAGCAAAGTTGCCTCGGAGTGCTCCGGTAAATAATACAATGGAGAAATACATATGCAAGAGAGGATCGAGACGAGCAGACGTAGGTTCGCGAGGAAGAAATGCAAATGAAACGGAACGGAGCAAAAAGAAGACAGGAAGTCGAGATACTCTTATAAAGTTAAGTAGAAATCTTAAGCTAGTGATACGTTTGAGTGTAAATCGGTCGGGTGGGCTGGGAAAAGAAGAGAAAAACGAAAACGTTACCATGCTCGCGAGAATAGGCGTAGGGTCTATGTAAATATTACATATAGAGCAATGGCGTGAATAAAATTTCCATAAAATCCAAGAACATTTTGCTGAAGAAGCTTTTGTCACGCGAATTACGATATTATTAAGCTGCGCGAGTAAGTTTTACTATAAATTTATACTCGATGCGATTTCTCACCAGTTATTGTTTGATTTGTCTTTGATTCCCATTTCCATCGCTAGAGGGGAGCAGTTGAATAATTATTAACGACAATGATATTTCGTTACTTGGCAACTACAAACTATGCATACACTTTCGTAACTCCATGTATATATATTTTTCTTTTTCTCATAGAACTCATTCATAGGAATGGCTTTTATCCTTTATGTGATTCGTAACACGTTCTGGTATCAACCCTCTACTGTATGCGCCAGAGTATAAGCAACTGGTCTATTATTAGACAACCCTCGCAGTCGGTACCATTGTGTCACAATGATCCCTGCAGATTTGGGCATCTCCTTTCCCCTTTGACACGCGATCGACTACCACCGTTTACATGATATTTTCACCAGAACCAATCCCAACCTTGGATACCATACGTATACAACTGCTACCATTGATACAATTTTCAGAAGATCCTGCCTCAACAACCTCGTGCTTCCGGCACTTCGTCCTTCTGAAATATTATTGGTATCCTGGGAAAACGTTGACTCCAGGCTGAAATAGCGTGGCTGTAGAGGTCGATAAGGAAGAAAAAGATTTTATCGGTGTTTTTCTTTTTTCCTTTTGTTCACCACCTAATGCGCTCCTCTTATACCATTTAGGTGAGGGATACAGATCAGCATTTTTTTCCTCTTCTTTGATCTCTTGGCTCTCATTCATTCTATGCGTTTCAGGTAATCTTGGCTGGCGCGACGTTTTTTCCCCCAAAAATATGAGAGAAATCAGGAACGATGTACAGCCAGAAATTTATCGGAATTGGATAATAAATCAGAACATTTGTTTAGCTTGTAGTTAAAAGGTCAGGTGGATGTGGAGGGGAAGTGAAAAGGCATTGTGGATGGAGGTTTACTAATTTATTTTTTATTTCAAGAAAATGACGAGAGGAGTTGGTGGGGGATTAAAGGGGTACAGATAAAGCTGAGTGCATATGGATATAACTGTATCAATGAATTTTTTAAGCAGGTCAAACGAGTGAACTTTGAACCCTGCAGCGTCGTATGGAAAATGGAAAGATTTTAATCAGGTCAGGCTAGTGCTTTCTAGATACAACTATTAGCGACGTAACGATAACTTTTTTTTGCAATCTCTAATTAACATGTTGTGTCTGAACCCTTGGATGGTGGATGGTGGTAGGGGAGAGGGATTGAACGGATCATACCAGGTGAATGTGGGGTGACTGCTAGGGGAGGTAAAAGGGCTTTCGCTAAGCTTCGTCGAGCTTTTAAGCTTGAAATGTTTGTCTTTGGCTCATGTGCACGTCGACTATTTTCCTCCATTGTCTGCTTTATTGTCGAAATTTCTAACAAAGCCAAACCGCAGTTGTCGACAAGCCAAGTTTCTGCAGATGCGGGGAAATATTGGGAAAGATTCCGCCATTATACGGAGTTAATGAGTGTAGTTTATACTTACCTAGTGGGAGTAAGTTTGATGTATGCATTTTTGGACAAGATTTTTTGCTGGTATTATTATTATTATATGGCTATTGGGGTGGTAAATAATTTTGAAATTATTTATGTGCACGGTTCTGGAGTGTCAACGTAGATATTACTAGAGGGTGTTTTGTACAATATATTATGATTTTAACCTTTGTATACGAATTAAACACGCATCCCTTAACCGGAGTAACCAGCATGCAATAATTAATAATACTTCGCTGAACCGTCTGCACGATATGGGAAATTAATTGGTCCTCATTTGAAGTCTGCTAATCAATGAGAAATAATGACGACCATGGTTTTCCTATTTTTGATAAGTGTAAGTTTTGTAGCCAATTTTTTTGTAGGTTTGCAGTCATATGTGATTTTTGTTGGTGATATTTGACATTTTTGAAAAATTTCTTTCTTTCGTCATTTCTCTCTCATTATGCCATATTTTGGAGTCATCGTGATTCGATCTACGACGATTTATACTTTTTTGACCTTCTGACCCCTCAGCAATATTATCGACTATCTTTTTATATATGATGAATTGTCGCGAATCTATCTGAAGGATAAGAATTTTTTTTAGTATTATAAATGTGCTTATCATTGTTATATTGGCGTGAATGATAACACAGAGCTTTTTAAACAGTTTCTTATGCATTGAGATAATTACTGTTTAATAATGATTATGCTAAAAAGGCACTGTTGGTCCTGTCATTCTTTTGTTTTTTCTTCTTTGTTACAGCACGATGAAGCTGGACGTGATGATGGACAAAGAGAAGGGGCTGGAATTGTTTGGAAAATTAATACGCACGAAAAATATTGACGGTCTCCAAGGAGACCAAAGCAAAACTGGTCCAGAACCAGTTCACCCGACAGACTCCAAGCAAAAATTACAGGTCTTATTAATAAAAAATTAATATACTCTCAAGCAGTCCAATCGGATCTAATTAATGATAGTACAGTCTCTAATAAAATTATTGAATAATTATTCTATAATTTTATTTCATCGACCAGCAGATACGTACAGCTTGTCATGGGTATCAATTAATATTGTTAAATCGGACTAATTAGAATGGACAGCTGATTGGGTATTGACCGTAACACATTGATGGCAGAAAATCGTATATACATATATATATATATATATTGTATATATATAAGTTATAAAATATAGAAATTTATTCGACGTAAATATAAAATCGAGAAACCGGAAAAATTAATCTCGCAGTTGCGGTCTAGGGGGTGGTTTCGGATTTTCCTCGAGTTTTTCTTGAAAATTACGTCACGTCAGTGTCGGAAAAATAACGAAATGAAAAATAAAAAAAGTGTCGCACGTGTCACAGTTTCGCGAACTTTAACGCTTTCACTCGGAATTGGCCGACCTGTTTCCCACATTTTTCCTCTTTTCCTTCTTCTTCGTCTTTTCACTGAAGTTTCGAACTGTCGGAGAGATCGAGCTTCTCCATTGACGATGGAAACTACGAACTTTACTAATATCCGATCTCGCCTACTTTGGCAAACGGTACAATTCAATTGTCTTATTTTTCCTATAGTTATACATATAAACTTGTACATAGTATATATTAAATATGTACATACATATATGTATGTAGAGAGATACGAAATCACTCCTAAAGATACGGTATTATATAATCAGAGTTAGATACTGTATATAGTGACATCTATTATTTCGCGAAACTTGAAATTTTCTAGATTGGGGTTGCCAGTCAGAAATTATTTTTCAAAATTGTTTTTTTTTTTCAAAAAAATTTCTTCACTGTGAGACTAATAAATAGACTGCTAATTGTGACAATGGCTAATTGTGAGAAGATTGACGATAAAATCTGAAGAACGCAGGAAAAAAAATTTTGAACAGAATTCTAGAAGTAACCTGAACTTAAAATAAAAGTAACAAAAATCTCCTCGACTTATTTTCGAATGTTATACCAATATTAAATATTGAGGAAATAATCGACTTTACAGAAGTGCCTGACGACTCTGGACCTGACGTCTCTTGGGGTTGGATCTTGCGTTGGTACAGGGATGTACTTGGTGGCGGGTATGGTAGCACGTAGTGTGGCGGGTCCTGGCGTCGTCATCTCGTTCATTATCGCGGCTATCGCTTCCATTTTCTCTGGTTAGTGAAAAAAAAAAAATTTTTTAATCTGATAATGTTGAATTTCCCGCCTAAAGGGTTCCTCGACCATCAACGTTGATTGGTCGTTTGATCCGCCATTACGTCTTCGGTCCGATTAATATATTTTATTAATCCAATCTGATCTTATATTTATATCAGTTGCTACTTTTTTTCTTTCTTTCTTTCACAGCCCCCCTCACCATCCCGATACTCCCTTAGCCAATCCACAAACTTTAAACACGCCGCCAACCCCGTCCAAAGGGAGTGCTTCGGTAGTCCCATCTCTTTTTTTACGACGGCATCGAGATCAGCTTGAGAGGCGCCAGCATCTTCTTTATGTTTATGGAATGCCCTTCTCTCTTCCACTCCGCCCCTGGTCTCTCTTACTTCCTGAAATTCTCTCATGCTCTCACTCAGATATTCCCTAAAGGGAGGTATACCGACAAGGCCTCGAATCCAGAGTATCCGTATACAGTTCTGTATCTGTACAGTATTCACTAACTCACTCTTATGCATCCCCTTTACATTCCACCCTTGCCCATCTGCTTTCTATCAAAGACTTGTCTTTTTTTTTTAATTTCACTGGAATTCGCAAGAGAAATACGTTAAAGACTTAAAATTTTCTCACAGACACACTAACCCTTAGATATTTCAATTTTGGACCGTAAACGCCTAAAATTAAAAACACGATCTTCCCTTAAAGATATAGCAAAATAATATACAAGTTTGAAAAATGTAAAAAATAATATTACCGACGTCACCAACAGATCCACGCAAGACAGTTTCTGGATAAATAGTAGAAATGTAAAAAAGAAGAAACTTTCCTTAGGCAATTTATATTGCCTTTATATTACCCCTCTTTTCAACCCCTCTCATCGTCAACGATCAATTATCCAATCCAGGCCTTGTCAGCAAGATAATATCTATCCCTGATTAATCGTTTATTACACCGTGTTAAGTTCACGACCGTGCAAAGAGTGAGGGGGCAATAGGGAAGGAGGGAGAGTGTACTCTCAAGGTATAATAATTAAATTATAAAAAAAGAAGAAATTGAAGAAAGTGACGACATCCTTTTAGCACCGATTTATCATTCCTCCTTTCTTTCTATTTCAGGGGCGTGTTATGCCGAATTTGGTGTCAGAGTGCCTCACACGACCGGCAGTGCATACATGTACAGTTACGTGACAGTAGGCGAATTAATAGCATTCATTATTGGATGGAACATGGTGCTGGAGTACCTTATAGGTACGAGTGCGTGTGCCTGCGCCCTGAGCGCCTGTCTGGATGCTTTGGCGAATGGTGCCGTTTCCGGTGCGATAGCCAGCAGCGTCGGTACAATTTTCGGTAAGTTGCTCCGTCGGTATCTAACAGAACTTTTTATGTTAATGGTAATGGTATATGTAATGGTAGATATATGTATATACGGGATGTACGGAGTGCATATCTTTTATTAATGAGACATCAGTTGAACAACTGAGCCTTTATTTTGACTGGATTTTTTTATCAGAATTCTTATGGTCGGTTGCGATATATTGTTATATGAAAATATAATATATTACAGTACGGTATAAATTTTAAAAAATATTTGTTTTCGCGTGCGTTCCCGTGAATAGGGCGGTTGGGTTTTTTCCCCGATTGTCCACCTGCCTCAGGGCAGGCACTGGCGAGGAGTTATTTTTTTTTTTAATATGCTGACAAATCTGTCCTTTTTTTACTCTTGTGTCATTTTGCGATTCGTTGAATATTTTTATACAGGATATAGGGGCTGAGGATGTTTCGTACGCTTAGGTCGTGAGTGGTCCTTCTTTTGGTTTGATAATGCATTTCTAGAATTTACTTGATTCCAGACTGCCTTGCGTTTGGGATATAGCTATGAGGTCATACCTTTTTTTTTTTAGAAAGTTTGTTAGACAAAAATAGAGATTAAGATAAAAAAAAAGTTGATTTCCTACGAAGCTTGCAAGGAATCTCATAAAAGGATCCACCAAATTCAAAGAACGCGATTTGAATTTACGATGTGTATCTTTAGTCTTTTGCGAAAAGCTTCACCACCATAATTCGTGTGATATATATACATATATATATTTGAAATCGAGTTTCGTATCTCTCATGAAAATATATATATATATTTCATGCTCCCAGAAACGCGTGTCTCGCATCAGCAAGAATACGAATGTCAGAAATAGGAAGTTGCGGCAAAGTCAAAAGAAAAATCTGAAAAAAGAAAGGAAGAACCGGCAATATCCATTAAAGAAACATATAGCTACAAGAAATTGACAAGGGTCATCCTGTTGGTTCAATCTCATCGTGTACTATGAATCCTTTATGAACCGCTGTCAGTAAGTACTTGCCTTTTGCGGACAACGAGTTGAACTCAAGCGTGTGCTGAACAGGAAACTAAAAGCGGGGACGCGAATCATTGTTAGGGCGATTGGAGCGTGTTGACGGCCATGTTGAATCAAAAATTATGAAACAGGAAAAATGCCCTGTATTAACGCATTATCTCGAACTCGAATACACGCAGATCCGTGTGAATTCCACAATCACTGAAATGACACTTTCGTAAGGAACGATTATTAAATAAAGCAATGAGACGCACGTAATATTTTGGCACGAGCATCTTTAGCGTCGAAAAATTGCAGGCGTCTGATTTCGTAAATATTACGCATAAAAGTATCGCGCGAGTAACAATGCAGCTTGTGAAAAGTCAGACTGCCTTCGCATGAGAATATATTGTTACGTTCATATAAATTGTAATATTCAATTTCGAGGTTAGAAAGTACTACCCAGGTCCGGTATGCCTATATACCAGCTACTACGTCAATCGCCATTGTGTACTCCAGTTAATATTGTCGCCTTTGATCGCCAACCCAGTCGCTGCCTTGTGTGTCCTGCGTGAAACGTTCGGTGTGTCGTGAAGTTTGTTTAGGTTATGTTATAGGAACGTTTCGTATAAGCAATTCATATAGACAAAAGAACACAAGCAACGAGGACTTTTGAGATTTGACGTTCTGGTGAAAAGAATTAAAATTATTTAACCATGCACAAGCTCCGTTCTCTCTCTCCGGAGAGGTCGGATTCTGACAGTTGTTTACTGCGCGGTCGTCGGTTGGCTGGTCGTTGGCTCTACCGGAAAATTGCACGGAGTCCAGGAGAATGTGCTCGAATAAGGTACACGTAGATTGTTCGTATGATTGTAGGGACGTGGAAGGTTGGTACTGTATCCGCTACCGAGGGTAGGTTGAGAAGGGTAGAGCCAGGTGGATTGAGGTTAGGTTAGGTTAGGCGGTACGTGCTGGGTGCGGATTGTAGAATGAGAGGCAAGGGGGACGCTTGCGCGGATGAGTCTAGCTCTGGCACCTGTGGACCTCATCGATCCGATCTGGTTGCGAACCAAGCATACTCTGACACTTTAACCTGCCTACCTGCAACAGCTTTTACAAGCCGAGACTGCGACGACCTGGACACGTAATTTCTGTCTATGTGAGCTACATTGCATTTCGATCACTTAAACGATGCTTGTTAATTTTTTGCCTTTTTTTGCCTTTTTTTTTTTTTTTTTTTTTTTT